TGACCGAACGTAGCAGAATACCCGTATAATATTGCAATTATAAACACGTTATTGCTAGCCTAATATGAACCACTAGCTTTTGTTCATAGTATCGTGTAAAGCTACCAAGGTAAACAAAGCTAGGTTAGCTCTCTTTGCCCGCTCACAGACCCCCAACGGACGGCCTAGAGACCTCCAAGAGGTGTCCCTGAAATGGGGACTCTGTTTATTTCACACTTCCAGCAGAGACAACGGGGAAATCCCCTCTCTTTGCCCGCTCACAGACCCCCAAAGGACTGTACATTACAGTTAGCTTTCCTCCGACGCTGATAGCATGTATAGCTAACGAGGCTAGCTATGCATGTATAGCTAACGAGGCTAGCTATACATGCTAGCGGGAAACATTGTATGACCGAACGTAGCAGACTACCCGTAGAATAATGCAATTATAAACACGTTATTGCTAGCCTAATATGAACCACTAACTTTTGTTCATAGTAGTTTTATTACACTCCATTATAGTTGCCGTTCCTCCAAGCTAACGTTCATATCGTGTTAGCTACCAAGGTAAACAAAGCTAGGTTAGCATATTAGCAGGCAAGCTGTTCATTAGAAGATAGATCCACACTCCTACCACAACTACTACTAACAAATCTAAAACAACTAAGTTTCTCTAATATTTTGTGATTTGCATTTTATTTCATCCAGCCAGATCCTGCCGGACAATACATGACTGGACGACCACAGTGAGGCATCGTCTCAAAAAGCCCCGGCTGCTATAAGCAAGATGCCGACAACGGGGAGTAATTGACGATATACCGTGTATATATGTATATTTACGTTCATTTTGTACATTTCTAAAAATAAAGTTTAATGGAAATACTTAGTAGGCCTATCCTTTCTTCCCTGAATTATTTGCTCCTATAACATATCATTCATATATAGCAAACCATGATTTGATTTCTCATCAAACAGTAGTAGTTTATAACGGGTAAAAATAACTTACTCTTTGTTATGACCGGCTCGTAGGCCACAACGGAAAGACAAGGAGACATACACGAGTTTACAAAACCACGGCACATTTATTGTGGTAAATGCAGAGATAGGTGGTCAGGGGAGAGGATTGCTGAGCTGCTTGGAGGGAGAGAGGGGCTGCCGTTTGACTCCGGGCAGCTGGCTAGCACCTCGGCTCCGGCCAGGTGTCCGTGATCGCGCTGATTAGCCTCTTCAGCTCCACCCCATCGTAAGACAAAGGCCCTGGGGCCGTCACACTCTTCTATAACAACAGTTGTAGCTACAGTTCGGTTAGTTGGCGTATAAAATATACGGCTGTACCAACGCCATGATAAGACTGATGTTCGGCTGAGAGCAGCCGTTTAGACATGGGCGCAGCCTCTCTGGTGGTTGACTAATCAGAACAGAGTGGCCGAGCTGACCAATCGGAGCACACTAGGCTCACAGGGAGGGGGGGGCAAGAGCTCCAACGAGTCGTTTAGTGGAGAGAGTGAATACTGCTGAATACACATGCTTGACAGAGATGCTGTATGCGAAACCAATGTGAGTTTGGAAAATTGCACAATATAAATCTATTTTAGTATACCTCAACAATGTAATTATGATCAGTGAAAATGGCCATGACATGGGCCCTTTAAAATGTTCAGCTTTTTCTGCATTTTCAGCTAAATTCAGCAACAAATGTGCACAGCTTACAGCATTTGCACGCATTTTCAGCAGGAAATGCATTTCCTAGTTGTATCTTGTGCCTCTACTGTGACATGTTTCACAAAACACGTTACTTACAGATAAACAAATATAGCTGACAGCGTTAAAAGATAACTAGAATGTCAGGAGTTCAATAGAGGCGTTTCAGGCAGGTTAGGCTCTGTTGTGATTGGTCAACCACTTAGAGATGTCCCGCCCCTTATCCTATCACGTACAAATGTGTTGGAGCGCTAGCCAATAGAAGTGCAAGTGTTACATAGTGTAAATATCTTATCCAGCCCTCAGACACCTCGCTGTAATCAAAGCGCTCAGACTTCATAGAAAAGAACAGAAGTCTTACCTTCCAGATTAAAAAGGAATCACTGATCGGGCGTTTCAATGTGCTAAATCTCTAAAACCAGCAGAGAAAATGTCTTGTTGCTATGGAGATATGTTCCCAGTCTTGCCTTTTTCCTTAATTAATCATTAACTTGTGTTAATGAATTCAAATACCCAATAAAATACAGAATTTTACGAAGATCTTTTACTGTGTTGTCCTCGGAACGATTTATTGACAAAGATAATGACATTTTATCAGATTACGTTTTCAGACGCTCATATAAAGCTCCATCATTAGCACCATTTATAACGAATAAAACACAGATTTAAGGAAACGTAATAAATGTGAAGCCAAGTGGAGTCGGATATTTAGACTTGTGTTTGACTAACAACAACAATTAGGATGTTAAAAGTGGTGTAAAATAAAACAAGTCATAAAGAATTTTAGCAAAGGTCAAGCCTTTCCTTTCTTTGAATGACTTTGAGAGAGTAATACATTGTTTTATATCCACTAAACTGGATTACTGCAACGCTCTGTACATTGGAGTAAGCAAGGCTTCCCTGTCTCGCCTTCAGCTGGTCCAGAATGCTGCTGCACACCTCCTTACAAGGACAGGCAGGCGTGAACATATTACGCCTGTACTCGCCTCTTTACATTGGCTACCAGTCAATTTTAGAATACAATTTAAAATGTTACTGTTCGCATACAAATCCCTAAACGGTTTAGCCCCCCCACCGTACCTGGCAGATCTTTTAAAACCATACACACCCACACGGTCACTGAGGTCTGCTGACAGACTCCTTCTGGTCGTCCCTAAATCGAGGTTAGAGCAGCGAGGAGACAGAGCCTTTGCTGTTGCAGCTCCAAAAGTATGGAACGAATTGCCCCTCCAGGTTAGACTTGCTCCAACTCTGCCTGTTTTTAAATCTCGTTTAAAAACCCACTTCTTTTCCCTGGCATTTACAGACCAGGTGACACTTGTGCTTTTGGGTTTTTATCTTACTAGTGTTTTGTACTGTTTTTACGTCATGTAGGAGAGTTTTTCAGTCTGTGGCTTCTGGTCTGGTTTCATTGTCTCGTGTTTTACATTTGTTTCATGTCCTGTCTGTTTGTCATGTATGTATGCTATGTTTTTATCCAGTTGTTGATGTCCAGCACTTTGTTCAACTCTGTTGTTTTTAAATGTGCTATAGAAATAAAGTGGATTGGATTGGATAATGATCAATGACAATTATAGGGAAATAGAAAATAAAACTGATGATATAACAAAAAAACTATATTAATCTGTGTTTGACGACCAATTGGCAAACAAGAGGATGTTAAAAAGTGGTAAAATGTTGAAAATAAAACCAATAAAAGTCATAATAAACAACATTTAAGTGAAAATACAGTGAATACAAAATTATGATTAAATAAATGATTAAATCTTAATAATAGAAATAGGTAAAGATTATGACCAATTATCACATTTAAAACAATGATATAGCACCTTTTAGAGCTCCTCTAATACACTTCAAAGGGTTTGACAAGCAATTGATACAAATGTGAAAATAAAATAGATTTAAAACAATAAAAAAAAGTCATTCAAAAATACAATGAAATGGAAAATAAAGATGATAGAGTTATAAAGTACATAACAACCAGACCGCAATGATGTATTTTATTTAAAATCAGATTACGTTCAGACCCTCACAGACCCTCTGTCAGAAAGCAGCACGGCCAAAACACTTCACTGTCTCTTTGGATCACTTGCTGTCTCCTCTGGGTTCTGGTTCTGGGGTGGAGAACTGGAACGTGACGCAAACAGGGACCCCGGTCAGAGCGGTGCTTAGAGGGATCTTTAGGGTGGGGGCTGCCGTGGAGAAAGGGTGAGGAAACTCTGGAGGGGGGAGGCAGAGGTAGAGGCATCCACATGTGGAAGGACGTTCAGGAGGTCAGCGCTCGGAGAAACGTCCACAAACAGAGCTATGTTTGCTGGGTCTTCAGGGAGGGGAGGGAAGGGGGGTCTGTGGAGGTCTGAGGGTCCTCTGAGAGGAGAGGAGGGAAGGAGATGAGGTGAGGAAGGAGGTTCATTACATTACATGTTACTTGTTAGACGCTTTTATCCAAAGTGACTTACATACTCAAAACTGTGGACAATCCCCACAGGAGCAATTTGGGGTGAAGTGTCTCAGGGACACAACGACATGCTGACTGCAGTGGGGTTTGAACCTGTGACCCCCTGATCCGAACACCTACGGACAACCCACTGCGCCACACGCCCCCGCCACAGGTTCAGTCTCCTGGATCACGTTAGGTAGGGGTGTCTCTGTGATGGGGTCCTGTGGGGGGGGATCCTGGGAAGGGGACACAGCGGGGGACGTCTCCTCGGAGGAACTCACCTCGATGGACTCTAAGGAATCTGAGGTTTCTTCTTCTCCATTGAGACACATCTGTTTGAGGGTAAAAAGAAAATATTTAAAAGAAGGTTTCAACCACAAATCATCATTTTGGTGTCAATTAAAGAGGACGTGTAGTTTTCAGGTTCATAGTTAGTGTGAATGCACATATATTTCTATTTTCTATATAAAAGCCCCCCCCACACACACAATACTACTAGTACTTACAGTAAAAAACGACTTACTGTACATTCAACTATTAAATCAATCAGCTATTTCAGGACATTGAGGCTATACATTTACAGTGGAGGAAACAAGTATTTAACCCCCTTCAGATTTTGTAAGTTTACCAACTTATTTTACAACTAAAAGCTCTTTTCAAATGAAGAGGAGGTTGTAACCGAGGCTCTGTGTAGGTCAGAGTCAGAGTTTGATAAGCCCTCCCTCTTCTTCCTGCTCTCAGACACAGCCAGCTCCACTCTGTATTTCCTGGCTCCTTCCCTTCAGATCCACACTGAGGAGGAGGGGTGTAACCAACATGTGGGTAAAGCACAAGAGCTGATAGGCCACATTCACTGCACACGTACATGTTGTTCAGATAACCTGTCACACTAGTTTCAGCTCACATGAAGTGAAACTCACACACTCGCTGCTACTGAGAGGTGAAATGGCGCAGAAAGGAGTTCAGCTGGACCGGGAAATCTTCTCTTGTCCCATCTGTCTGGATCTACTGAAGGATCCGGTGGCGACTCCCTGTGGACACAGCTACTGCATGAAGTGTATTAAAGGCTTCTGGGACGGAGAGGATGAGAAGAAGATCCACAGCTGCCCTCAGTGTAGGCAGAGCTTCACACCGAGGCCTGTCCTGCTGAAAAACACCATGTTAGCAGCTTTAGTGGAGGAGCTGAAGAAGACTGGACCCCCACCTGCTCCTGCTGATCTCTGCTCTGCTGGAGCTGAAGATGTGGCCTGTGATGTCTGCACTGGGAGGAAACTGAGAGCCTGTAAGTCCTGCCTCATGTGTCTGGCCTCTTACTGTGACCAACACCTCCAGCCTCATTATGAATTGCCTGTCTTTAAAAAACACAAGCTGGTGGAGCCCTCCAAGAAGCTCCAGGAGAACATCTGCTCTCGTCACGACGAGGTGATGAAGCTGTTCTGCCGCACTGATCAGCAGTGTATCTGTTCCCTCTGCTCTGTGGAGGAACACAAAGGCCACGACACAGTGTCAGCTGCAGCAGAGAGGACTGAGAGACAGAGAGAGCTGGAGGGGAGTCGACTAAACATCCAGCAGAGAATCCAGGACGGAGAGAAGGAGGTGAAGCTGCTTCAGCAGCAGGTGGAGGCCGTCAATGGCTCTGCTGATAAAGCAGTGGAGGACAGTGAGAAGACGTTCACTGAGCTGATCCATCTCATGGAGAAAAGAAGCTCTGATGTGAAGCAGCAGGTCAGATCCCAGCAGAAGAGGGAAGTGAGTCGGGTCAAAGAGCTTCAGGAGAAGCTGGAGCAGGAGATCTCTGAGCTGAAGAGGAGAGACGCTGAGCTGAAGCTGCTGTCTCACACAGAGGATCACAACCAGTTTCTGCTCAGCTACCCCTCACTGTCAGCCCTCAGTGAACCTACACACTCATCCAGCATCAACATCCGTCCTCTGAGCTACTTTGAGGACGTGACGGCGGCCCTGTCAGCAGTCAGAGACAAACTACAGGACGTCCTGAGAGAGGAATGGACAAACGTCTCACAGACTGAAGTGGATGTTTTACTGTCAGCAGCCGAGCCCACCACCAGAGCTGGGTTCTTACAATATTCACAGGAAGTCACTCTGGATCCAAACACAGCAAATACACAGCTGGTATTATCTGAGGGGAGCAGAAAAGCAACATTCATGCAACAACAACAGTCTTATTCTCGTCACCCAGACAGATTCACTAATTATTCTCAGGTCCTGAGTAGAGAGAGTCTGACTGGACGTTGTTACTGGGAGGTGGAGCGGAGAGGGAGAGGAGTTTATGTAGCAGTCGCATACAAGAATATCAGCAGAGCAGGGGATGACTGTGTATTTGGACACAATGATAAATCTTGGTCCTTAGATTGTAAACAAAACAGTTATTCATTTCGTTACAACAGAATCATCACTCCCGTCTCAGGTCCTCAGTCCTACAGAGTAGGAGTGTACCTGGATCACAGAGCAGGTATTCTGTCCTTCTACAGCGTCTCTGAAACCATGACTCTCCTCCACAGAGTCCAGACCACATTCACTCAGCCGATACATGCTGGAGTTTGGCTTTATAATTATGGAGACACTGCTGAGTTTTGTAAACTCAAATAGCCTGAAGTCATTGGAGGAACTCTTCTACTTCTTAAAGTCACCGTGTGTCCATCAGAGCTGATTGTTCATGTCTTCACTGTGCAGAGATCAGCTGTCAATCAAACATTATGGGATGTGCTTCAACATCTTCTCATGAGTTGTTCTGTAGATGTTGGACTTTCTTCCGGCTCCTTCCTGTGTCTGTGTAGCCATGGAGGCTGTCACTGCTCAGGAGGATCCTTGTTCACCTGAACTGATATGTAAACTTTGCTCTAAATATGTGTTGGATATTTCTTTTGATTCATGTTGTTGTTTCTCTTGTAATGCACGAGTCTTCAGAGAGAAAGCAGCAGAGATTCTTTTATTGTACACATTTTATTCTGCCCACTTTCTAAAACAACAGAGACATTTATAATCACATGTATTATTTTGACAGATGAAATGTTATTGTTGCCCAAATTAACTAACAAATGAGTTCCCCAGATGGTTATAACACTTATTTCATCATAACATCTTTATTTAAAATGATATTACTTACTGTCATGATCATAATCAATAAGTACATCATTTATTATTCTCCTGTAAATAGCTTAGAGACTTTGCTTGGGAAATACATTGTATAATATTACAGTTATTGTTTTGCAGACTAATTGTTGTTGTTGTTGTTGTCATCCAAATAGAAAGTGGGTACTTTTTATAGAACATAACTTATCATGATAATAATCAATAAGGAAATCATGTATGATTCTGTTTTAAATAGCTGACATTAAACACATTCATGGTGTGGATAAAGTGAAACTGAACAGACTTTACTGATGGGATGTGTGATCAAATTAAATGTTTGGATCATTAATAAAGGTTTGTCTTTCAAAAACAAACAGGATGTTCTTCTTGTATTGTGTCCAAGGTGCCATACGAAGCTGATGGAGAACATGTGGAAGTGATCTGAGACTAAATAAAGTTCAGCGCAAGTTCAACCTGGAAGACCTTCTTTACTCATTCATTTACTATTTCCATGTTACTGCTCTTTCTCCTCTCAATAAGTGATCGGGGGCGTCACTCCCCAGCTTAACCAATCACTTCGCTCTATTCTCACAAGCCTATCATAGCGCTCCGCTAACCCTTTTAAATCTGCTCCCCCCTCTGACAGCTGTCATTTGAGGTGACTCGACGCAACCCTCCTCCACTCCTTTGCACCTCCTGTCCCTCTGAATCCAGGGTCAAGCTAAGCCCCTCCCCTTCAGACCGACCCCAACTATCCATTCACCACCACCAGTGTCTAGACCCCGGGGAGTTTCATCGGATCGGTTCTCCCCTCCCGAATGATACTCCTGCACAACGGGGCTTAATCTCCAAAACTCCATCACATTCATTTGTGTATTCCTGGCAATAAATATGTATTCTTATCAAACCGTCTCTCTTGATTGAATAACTGAGTTTCCTCCTGAAACAAAGCACAGTGTTCATCATCACTCAGTCTGTCCCCTCCCTCATGCTAATTGCGTCGCATAAGCGCACCGCATTTTCGGCTCAGTTGAGGCACCCTCTGCAAGATGAGGCCCCCTCCGCAAGATGAGGCCCCACGCAGTCTGCATGATCGGCCTGGAGGGAGGGACGGCCCTGCTTATTAGCTGGCCCTAACGTGTAAAGTTATACAAGCATTTTGTACCAGTGCTTTTCACAAGTAGACTCTTGCAGGCCAGAGTAGCTGGAGTGATTCAACATCAACAAAAAGACATATCTGAGAAGAAGAAGAAGAAGATTCAACTTATTGTCATTACGTAGTACAGGTACTATGTGTGGATGATGTGTTCAAAGCTAAAATGTGAATGCAAAAGTCTTAAAGATACTGTTACAGCAGAATTGCACTAGTACCAGATAACTGTTGTGTTAAATGCAGTATAACAGCCACATGTTTAAAGCTTTTTAAAAAAAAGGGCAATGTGATATTCATGTGAATGTATTGTGCTCTCAGTATAACTGCGCCCCCTGCTGTCTACACAGGAGATAGACACACTAGCAGTGATGAAGTGCACAGTAAGCATGTATAACGTGTGTGAGCCAGCACTGGTTAATAAACCCTGTTAACGTCCAGCAAGTTGAGTCTTTCATGTCCAATCACAACATGGACACATTACAAGTGATCAGGACGAACAGAAAGAGGAAAAGGAAAAGAGAGTTCACTGAAGAGACCAGGAGGGTCAGAGCAGGAGGAAGAGGAGGAGATGAAGACATTAGTGAAGAAGAAGAAATGTATGTGAGGAATAAAGATGAAGTGTCAGAAAGAGGGACAGAGGCAGGGATCAGGAGGCAGATGAGACTCCAGCTGGACCATGTGGTATGTTCTTATTCTCCTTACATATTCCATTACAGCAGCACAATCTAGCGGCTCTTAGTATTGACAAATATGTATTGAAATGTGTTGCTGCACAGGTCACCTTTAGCTCTCTGAAGAGATGGGTGATGTCATTTGTGTACTTCAATGAGATACGGCCTATGTTTACTGAAGGTGTGTGCATCCAAAGGTCACGAGGTTAATGGTTATATTCCTAGGAACGGCTTAAGAGTCTCAGCCACTAACCGCTATCTGCCTTTTACTGTTTGCATATAATAAAGTGGTCCAATAAGGCACCTGGTTTAGTGATTGAGCACTATACAGTCACTATACAGTCGTATTATTCCGCATGGTATCACTAGATGGGATGTGGAGTTTATTCAGGCGTACCAGATTAGTGAAACTGTTTTGGTTAAGTGCTGGAAATAAAAAACACTGAGGCACATTCAAGTTTGAAACTTTTATCTTCATCTTGATTTACAAAAAGAAGAAGTTGTGATGATTTCACATAAAATAAACTCTTTCTATGACTACAATTACTGATGGATACAAAGCACATAATTCTCCAGAATTCATAAATTGGTCATTTTCAATACAAATATTTAAATAGACAAAACTGACCCAAAAATTAGGGACACAAGCCGCCTTTTAAAAAAGGAAGATCCAATGGCATCGCAAACTGAATTATTAAAACACTAGTGCAACTCATACAAAACAAACATTTGGAAAACAGTCTTTGTAATGTACACAAGAGGGTAAGGGCCAAATGTAATAGAACATGTTGGGATCTGACGGAAATAGAATTTTGAAAGAAGAAATCTGTCCTGTGATTAAAGTCAAAATTCTGGCATTAACGTCAGAATTCTGAGATTCATTATTCAGACTTTTTTCTCCGAATTCTGACGTTGATCTCAGATTTAAAAAACAAATTCACTTTTGGTCAGATCTCCAAAAATGTTTCACATGTGGCCCTTATCCTCTTCCGTAGTAATGGGACTCTTTTGTGCACCTTACCAATCCAACTGATGTCCGATTGCAGATGAAGTTTGTGTCCCTTGTTTTGTAGACTGATTTGTTTTTTAAAACTACTGGAATTAAGCCAATAAGTTAAGCATAAACTAAAACTAAGGAGCATAAAAATACATTTAAAAGCAGCTGGAACGTGGCTGTGTGATGCAGGTCTTTGGCGGTGACGTTCTCAGTTGGCATCCGTCACCATGATGTATACAAAGAGTCCAGCTGAGGGGAGGACGTCTCCGTTCTTATTGAGCAGCGGCACATGTCTGTATCCTGGGTCGGAGCATAGAGTGGTGACAGTCAGTCATCAGAAAATATGAAGAGCTCTTTGTCGCAGAGTGTCAATTGACTTCTCTATGCTCGGCCAGAGATGGGATAGTTCCCATCTCTGTTCATTAATGAAGGGTGGAAACCAACGACAATCAGTGTTTTTGATCAAACTCACCCATTCTTAAGCTGTTGAATGGGAGCGTGTACTGCCCCACAAACTCATTAGAAGTCGCTGAGTCGTGGTCTTCGACGGTGAAGCGCACCAGGGCCAGCTCAGGAACGTGCACGTTAAACTCCATGTTCTCATTCCATTCTGGGTTAAAACCTTCGACAGGAAAAATAAAGTGACACGTTATAATTACTGATGCATTCCTCGAATTCTTGGTGATCTTTCCACCTGCCTCTTCTGCTGCTTTAGAGGCTTTCCTCGTTCCCACAATGCATTTGTAAACAGCCCCCATGGCCGTACATGTGGTTAGCTAATAGTTTAACATGAAAAGGATGTATCTCAGAGTAAACAGGAAGTAACAACTGATGCCAAATCTTATATTTTCTGTGGCTGCATTGCATTCTGGTCTATTGAGGCCAGTAGCTGTAGAGACGCCATGTTTCTAAAAGGATGCTGAAGACACGACAAATAGTTCTTCTTTATTTCACAAAATTAACATTATGTAACTGTGTTGAAAATAAATAAGTTGCATTGGCTATGTTAAATGTAAAGTATGCCTTCAACCTGATAAAGATTATTTAAAATGTAAGATTTCTTATTATTGCAGATATACATATTATTTTTACAAAATATATATATATGGTTCTAGAGGGAATATTTTCCTTAGATAATAAAACATTTAAAACATGTTGTGAAATATAACATCTAGCTTGAATTAATGTTAACTTTTAAAATGTATGAAGCATGAGAGGTATTGGAAATGTTCAGATAATACGGTCCAGAAGCAATCTCCTCCAGTCAGCTCTGGAATCTTATTCTACCAAAAGTATAATACAAAGAATATGAGTGTAGCTTAATGTACAAAAACAGGCTGCAAAGCAAATGTAGAATTTGAATATCAACGTACTCGATTTAAACTTCAATCTTTAAAGAAAGTATACCTCCAAGAGATCAGAAAAAATGCGATCTTTAGTTAAAAAACGTGTGTATTGTGTTTTAAAGGGGAAGGTACCATTGTTATCGATAGCACTGGTCTTTTCCTCTGCATTATCATCCGGCACTCCGTACACCTCCACCCTCACCAGCGCGTCCACGATGGAGAATTTCTTCTTGCTCAGTTTGGGGAGCTGCTGGCCTGAAATAACCTGAAGACAGGTTGCCCAGAACATGAAATCCTTTCTTCACCACAGCAGGATTTTAAAGGGATGGGACAGTGAGTTGTGTTTTATAACAGCTCACCATGATGTGGAGCATCTTGTGCTGCAGCCAGTCTCCTCGGGTCAGTGTGACGGGGTCAAACTCTGAGGCTGGGTCCCTCATGTAGGCCGGTTTCAGGACGTAGCCGCTCTTTCCGTTGATCAGGAATCTGCCCTGGTTTACGTCCATGTCTGAGCAGGTTGTCTGGAAGTTAAGAGCCACTGAAAAGGAGGGAAGGTACAATGATGAATCAGAAATAAGAAGCTGCTTCCCATTGGTTAAATGTCAGAGTGGACTGTACATGTGAGAGTTTTTAAATCCCTTCCCGTGTCTGTATTACGTACCGACTTGGCAGCCGGCGCTCCACAGAGGCACGGGGCTGTAGTTGGAGGAGTTGGTCCTGGAGCCGGCTGGATATATGCGACTCAGCTTCTCCACGTTGTGATGGATGTAGGCATTAGCTGCAGAGGAAGCATGGAGGAAGAGTTATTCACAGATTTTTTTTATATCATCACAGACACTTTATTACATTATGTGCCCTTTATTCTGAAAGAGGTGCTATTATAACTATTATCACCAAGCGAGGACAACTGGTGTCATCTAATGTTGAAATCCTTTTAGGTTTGCACAACACTGAAATCAAAAGAGCTCTAAAAAATGTTTTGCCAAAATGTCAATACTTTTTGTGGTGGCCATGTAGGATTTTAAATACATAATGGTTTCCAAGTTAGCCCTAATTCAGAACTTAAACCTACAATATGTAATTATCTGCCACTAAGGGGCACTCATTTTAAGATAATAACAAAAGGCGGAGTTTGTTGGCACTGTCCTAAAGTCCTGGTTAGGATTTCATCATCGTTCATTATTCAGGAGGTGTTTACCTGGAGCCG